AGTCATTTTGGAAAATTATATTTTCTTTAACAATGTCCATAGTGCATGCTTGGATGAGTATATAGTTTAGAATAAGTGATTACTTCCTTTAATTAAACATGAATACAACTTCTCCCCAACGGTTCTGCATTTCCGGGAATCCTTGAGTTCCTAGTATGAACTAGAGATTAGTGGGGGAAGCCCATGGTCTTTACGCAGTTCCTGCTTTACCCTTTCTTTCCTATCGAAGGTCAATGGGGTTTCATTTCAGGCTTCTCCTTTCCAGCTATCACCAATCCTTGCTTTCCTTCTGGGATCCTCACCTTTGTCCAGCTGATGTTGAAGTAAACCAATGTTTCCAAATCAGCCTTCCGTTTGTCCTCCTTTCCCCTGCCAGACAAAAGCATCCTAAACAGTGTAACGTTTAAAATACCTTTAGGCTTGATATAAACATGTACAATGGTTAGGAAAAATAAGCAAAGGGTGAATTACAGAGTGTTCAAATTCCTGAAAACTACTTGTCAGGGTTGCCTCCTGCCCCTCTCCCGCTCCGGGCTGCCCTCCTTCCCCACCTCAGTCTCAGTCTCAGTTCTTCACTTAAGTATAAAGGAGCCTGCTCGGCTTTCAGCTAACTCTTTCCCTTTTCTCAAACTCCTTGAAAGTTCCCGTTGGAGTTTCAAATCATCCCTTCTAGCCACTACTCTTTTATTCCTAGGGGATGAGTTATTGAGCCTTCTACCCTTTTTGAGAGAGGTGTTAATTAACCTGCCATTCAAATTACCTCAGACCTAGGAGGATCTTTTTCAATCTGAAGGAAGCTCTGAACGGGTGTCTCTGAACTCAAGGTCCAGCTAACTGTCCCGGCCCTGTACTTTCGCCAGGAAGAGCCAGTTGGGGTCATTGCTTGACAGAATCCAGGCTCAGCCGACCTGTTGAGAAGAGGCATTCAGTTCAGAAGTGCGGAGAGGAGGTGTGGGTTTTACAAAGCGGACAGCAGCCGGGGTGTGTGTGTGGATGTGTGTGTGTACACATGCGTGCCAGGGAAGGGGCAGGTCAATATCTTTTGAAAAGGTGTATGCTTCACTGTAATTTTATACTTGGACCATTTAAAAAAATCAGTATTTCTGGGACACCTGGGTGACTCAGTTGGTTGATTGCCTTTGGCTCTGGTCAATTAAAAAAAAATCAATATTTCTATAGCATAAATTGCATAAAAATGCGTGACTAAACTGACTGTTGGTGATGTACTAAAAATGCAGTTCTTGTCTGTATGGTGGGATGCAGTGGGAGGTGGAATTATTGGAATCTCCTGCAGATAGGAGATTTTTATATGTATCAGAAAGGGGCATGGATTTTTTAAATAGTTGAGAAATTGTGGAATTTTTGGACAAAGCCTGGGTGTAGGTCAAATCTGTCTATTGCTTCAGATCCTTGAAGGGATTTCAAGTAGCTTAACCTATAATTTTCCAACCCAGAAAAAAGTAAGCTGCAATATGCAAATTTTCTAAGCTATAATTAAATTATTTCAGGAAGGTTTTGTTGTTTGTTTTTATTTTTTTTATTTTTTTAAACCACAGAATTGGAAATAGTGTATGTGGCACATTTAACTCTTAGTATGTTCTGACAAGTAATAAACTAATGCTTATAACAGTCCCTGAACTATTTGGATGAAATATGGTTTGCATTAGTGAGTGTGTGTATACATATACAATGTTATAAAGGAAGATTTATGATAACTCACTTACTAGTGAAAGATTTCTTCAGAAAACATAAATTACCATGGTTCTAAATAATAGCTTTTCTGAGGGAGCTTTGAAAGAATTTACATTTGAATTGGATCCTGAAAGTCTAAATGTGAATTTATCACCCATTCTTCAAGAAATATTGTAGTTTTATAAAAGATAGCACTATAGAAATGAAATTCAATGACAACAAATTAGTTTGGTCTTTTAAAAATTATTATCAAAATTATGTTTCTTTACTGAGCCGATTCTTGCTCTAAATTCAACTTGTCTTCATATAGCATCAAGAATCTAACCTCAAACGGATTCCATAAATAATCACTTCTAATAAATACCACAATTTTTTGAACTGTAAGAAGAAATCTCAGATGGAGAACTCAACCAGGAAAAAGAAGCTTTTTTTTTTTTTTTAAGATTTTATTTATTTATTCGAGAGAGAGAGCACACAAGAGCACAACTAGGGTCAGGGAGGGAAAGGGAGAAGCGGACTCCCTGCTGCGCAGGGAGCCAGACACAGGGCTCAATCCAGGAACCTGAGATCATGACCTGATCCAAAGGCAGATGCTTAACCAACTGAGCCATCCAGGCACCCTTTTACTTTGACTTTCCAAATCTGTATTTCCATTGTCAACAAGATAGGTGTATAAAGGCATAACAATGACCATTTTCTGGGGTCTGAGGTCAAATCCATTCTAAGTACCAAAATATTTATGTCCTTATAGGCTTGTCTATTAGTTTAGATTTATCTGTTTCGTCATTCCGAATGATGAAATTGGTTACAGGAAATAATTATAGGAAGTTAATTTTTCATTAAGAGCTAGTGGAGAATAACTCATTTAAATATGCTGGGATTTAAAGGTAGTCTGTAAGTGATTTTCCTAGAAATCAAATTTTTCATAATGTATATTATATATATCTTTAACTGTAAGCTGAATGGATGACTTTTAGCACCAGCTCCGTCCCTTCCTTGCTATGGGCTGCTTACTGAAACTTTCTGCACATTTTTCTCACATACAAAAATGGAGATACCATATTAGTTACTTCTTAGGATTGGTAAGAGAATTAAATTAGACAATATGAGTTTGAAAACCACATGCTTAGTTCATAATAAGGGTTCAATGGCTATAATAATTTTTATGGTTAATAAGTTCAAATGATTGATGAAGTATGATTGAGGCTTTGGAATATGTCCTTTTGGTCTTGTTCTTCTTTCCAATTGCATTTTACTTAGTGTACAATGTAGCTATCGCATTTCTACTATATTTCAATCTATGCTGTAAAATACTACATATTTGGTTTGGGGATTAAGGGGATACTTCTGACTGTTAAAATTACTCAACTCCTTTATGATAGAAAAGGAAAGGAAATAATGCCCCTTGATCAAATATATTGCCCCTTTTGTCTCTTTCTCCTTCATTCTTTCTTTTCTTCCTCCCACCCTCCTTCCTTCCTTTTCTCCCCCTCCTCCTTTTCTCCTCGTTTTATCTACGGAATGGACAATACTCACTCTGGAAGAGCAGGTGGGAATAATGCCGTTTGGAAAGCGTACATACAGGCTGCATAGAACAACAGAAGAAAGTCCTGAACTGTCAGTTCCCAGGGTCCTTGCACGGCCAAATGACTCTTAATTTCCTAAAATTAGTCTAAGAATATTTTGTTAACAGTCTGAATAAGCTGACTCACATGCCACCATGATTTAATGTCTGCTTTGCTACTGAATCAGCCATGTTTGGCTAGCCTTGCTGTCTTCATTTTTCTTTGTGTTTATCCTTAAGCTTAGCAACCAACCAAACACTGAATGGAATATCAATATTTAAGAGTAAAGCATATTAGTTTACTAACTGTTCCACTGACAGACTCAGTTTGCATGGCTTACATTTTGTATTTCTTTTTGTTTTACTTATGATATTTTTTTTTAAAGATTTTATTTATTTATTTGACAGACAGAGATCACAAGTAGGCAGAGAGGCAGGCAGAGAGAGAGAGAGAGGGAAGCAGGCTCCCTGCTGAGCAGAGAGCCGGGCTCAATCCCAGGACCCCGGGATCATGACCTGAGCGGAAGGCAGAGGCCTCTACCCACTGAGCCACCCAGGCGCCCCTTACTTATGATATTCTTAATGCATGAAATTTTGACTACCCCGCCCTATTTTTCACAAGCTTTCAAATACTAATAAAAACATGAACCAGAGATATTTTATGTGTCTCTGGTTCGCATGAGATTGTTGTTAAGTGGTGAATATACAAATGTAAGAACAGGAGAACAATTTTATTAAAGAATCAAAAAATAACAAATATGTAAACAGGAAGGATGGTTATCTTAAACCAGTAACAAAAATTAAAGCCCTCTCCCCACCCATGTAAATAGGTTTTTCCTTTTGACCAAACAGCTATAAATCTGTATTTCTTAACACAGAAGTATTTGGTTTACTGAAAGCAAATTTTAAACATTTTTTATTTTTATGCCATTAAAAAAAAAATTATATCACACATTTGTAATCATAGAATTATGGTCCTTATTGTTTTACCTCGAAAAGGACTCGAAAGTATTTACTCCAAACGCATTTTACATATACTAAAAATAGAACATTTTTTGAAAAAATGAAAGCGATCCTGTGTCATTTCAGGCATCGAATTGGACTAGGCAAGGGAAAAGTAACCAGTGTTTTTCTGCATCAGCTCTGGGCTCTGAATGGCATCTCTTCCACCAACCAGAGAAACCTTCGGAGTTAGCAGGGTCTTTCAAGATGGTTATTTTATACCCTCACGTTACAGATAAAGAAACCGGAGGCCCAGCGTAAGGGACCTGTTTAAGGGCCGGAGCTCTCCAGACACCGCGGCCAGGATCTTCCCCCAACTTCACTATTAATGTCACGCCACTTTTCTTTACGACCCATATACACATAATTTCGAGTCTTTGGGAAAGATGACAGTAAAATCGCAGGGTTTCTGGGCTGTTTTCCTCCCTTTCCTAACCCGTTTAGACTCCCTTTTGTCGCCTCCGCCGCGTCCCCAGCCGCCCCGCAGAGCCGCGCTGCGGAAAGAGGCGACCGGCCCGAGCAAGCGTCCTTCTCCGCGAGAGGACACTTGTCCCGCGCCCGCTTCCCGTCGCCACAGGCCCCGAGCTGGACAAGGCCCGGCTCCTAGGCCGCGTGATGCAGCCCAAAAAAGGTGCAGCCTCGCACGTGTCCCCGCCGGCGCCCCGGCCCCTGGCGACCAGGCCTCCCGCGCCGCCGCCCAATCGCCGCGGCCGCTTCGCGCTCGGGCCACGTCCGCCGGCCGCCGGGCACCGACACCCGGAGCTGCGCCGCCCGCCGCCATGCGGTTCCGGTTCGGGGTGGTGGTGCCGCCCGCGGTGGCCGGGGCCGGGCCGGAGCTGCTGGTTGTGGGGTCGCGGCCCGAGCTGGGGCGTTGGGAGCCGCGCGGGGCCGTGCGCCTGAGGCCTGCGGGCACCGCGGCGGGCGCGGGGGCGCTGGCGCTGCAGGAGCCCGGCCTGTGGCTCGGGGAGGTGGAGCTGGCGCCCGAGGAGGCGGCGCAGGACGGGGCGGAGCCGGGCCGCGTGGACACGTTCTGGTACAAGTTCCTGAAGCGGGAACCCGGAGGAGAGCTCTCCTGGGAAGGTACTGGAGCTGGCGTCCCCACCCGAGCGCGCCCCGGGGACTACGGCCTCGGCCTCGGCCTGGGGCGCCCGCCGGTGCCCGCTGCGCGCTCCCCGCGCGCTCTGCCCGTCTCCCCGGCTTCGAAAGCTGCCCCCGAACTCCCCGGCCGCTCCGGCGGGCCAAACAGTGGCAGCCCGCCGCGCCTCGGGCTCGGGACGCGTCCCTAGATGCCTGCTGGGCTCCTGCGCGCCGGCCCGCCCCTTCGCTCCCTGACCCTCCGCCCTATTTCCCACACGCCCACTTCCCGGGGTGTTTCCTGGCGTGTCGGCTTCGCGGCCCGGTTTCCTAAATGACCCCCGCCCCGGGGCACCCGTCCTCCCCGCGCGAGTACCTGGCCGCCTGGCCCGCCCTGGGGCTCACGGGTTCTCTCCTGAGCTCTGCCCTAGTGTTTCGGCGTCCCCGTTTACCCCCTCGTCCCCTAAGAAAAAACCCAACGGGTGAAGCTGCCCTGTTCCCTCATCCACGTGCTTGTGTATGGGGTTTTCTTTCCTTAGATCTGAGAGCGAACCAATGCAAAGACATTGAGTCTTTCTCCTTTTGGATTTTTTAATTTATTGAGATATACTCTGATTTCCTAAGATATAAAAACAATATATGCTAGTTGTAAAAAAAAAAGAAATCAAATTTCAAGGTAAAAACTTCTTCCCTCCACTGCCTTCTGCCCAGTACGTGTCTGTCTCTACCTATCATGTATCTATCTCACGCACAGACTGTATAATATATGATTCTGTATCTTGCTTTTTCTTGATTAACGATATGTTGCCAATACTTTTTAGCGTCACTCCATATAGGTGCATTTTATTTTTTAAAAGGCAACAAAATATTCTGCGTCTGACTAGTGCACATTCGGTTGGTTTTCGTTTTCCTCTGTTCTAAACAGTAGTAGCTTCACTGAAAGTCCGTGTATGGAGTTACCTTTGAGTATTTGGGAGTGTTGCTGTATGGTAGATTCTGAGAGGTGAACTAGTTAGGTCAGCGTGTGGCCATATTTTACATTTCAATAAGGACTGCGAAATTTTACCCTCAAAAGGCTATACCAGTGTAGACTCCGTCCCCAAACCACCCCCCTCCCCACCTCCCCCAGCGAGGTATGAATTTAGACAACTCTTTCTTTAAATGTGGTGTGCAAGGTAGAGGATTGGAGTAGGTGTAATCAACAGTTGTCTAAAGCTGATGAAATGAATGTCTCTTTAGAAGTTTATGTGACAAAAATGGGCCATTTAGTCCCTAACGGTGTGGAAACAAAGAATCAGTAAAGAACATGAGTATTCTGTAATACGTTTGTGTATTATCCTTGTTCCACTTGGTTTTATGAACGGGTGGCATTTATTCTCATTTTGTATTACCGTGCCTGAATGGAGGGGTATGCTTACCAGTTTATGCCCTTCTTTACAGGATACAACTTTTATTAATAGTATTACATAATATTTTTAACAATAAAATATCTGCTAATTTTAATAAAAATTATGGACTTTCCCCTCCCTAGTTCTCCTCCTTTTCTGTTTTTAGCTTTTCTGATATTCCTCCCAAAGTTCTAATTAATTTGCTTCTATTGCTATTTCTTAATGTATTACGTGTAACTTTTCTGTTCTTAGATTTTGAGTTTCTAAATAAATTATATATAACATTTTAAAATTAAAGTTAGACAATATATACTGACAGCAGCTATTTATCCATAAATTTAACCATCATACTTGCTGTGAAATGTGAGGAATTTAAATTCATTATCTTTCTGCTCCCTGCTGGTTTTTATATTATTATTTTATATAAAAGTTATCTATGTATAATTGTTGACTTGCTATTATATAGAAAGTTCTGTGTTATAATAATTGTACTGTGCAGAAAGTTACCCCTGTATAAGAAGGTAAGAAAAATAGCTGACACACATTCTTTTCCCTCTCCTTACCTTGGTTATTTTCTCTTTATTGGTAAATTTTATATAATTTATATTGTGTTTTATAATTGTTACTATTCCTTCTTGTTTTGGATTGATAAGTTGATTCTAAAAATGGTAAGTTAAAGAGCATTATGAGAAGCATCATGGTCAGCGTGTAAGAGTAAGGATTCTGGAGCCAGAATGCCTGTGTTCACCAATCCATGTGTGACCTTGGGCAAGTTACTTAACTTTATTGTGCTGTCTTTGTTTATTTTTTTAATTTTTTAAAGATTTTACTTATTTATTTGACAGACTGAGATCACAGTTGGCAGAGAGGCAGGCAGAGAGAGAAAGGGAAGCAGGCTTCCCGCTGAGCAGAGAGTCAGAAGGGGGGTTGGATCCCAGGACATCGGGATCATGACCAGAGCAGAAGGCAGAGGCTTTAACCCACTGAGCCACCCAGGCAGCCCTACTGTGCTGTCTTTGAAAGAACTAAGCTGGCTAATAAATCTAAAAGAATTAATAGAGGACTTACATTAAGTGTTTAATAAGTGTTAGTGATCGTTATCTTTACTGTTACAATTAGGAAATAATTATTGCAGAACCAAGTAGTGCAATTAGACTCATAAAAAAGGAAATGTAATTCTGTGACTTGGAACACAGGGAAGGGATTCTTTTCCCTTAACGCTGTAAGTGTCAAGATACCCGGGTTTGTTTTACTTCATATTTGGGTGGTAATGTTCTTCTACAACTTGTGTAAAATTTCTAGGTAATTTTTTTTTTTTTTTAAACACCAGAAGCAGCACATTGATCATCAGAATTTCCTAGCTTGACTGCAGTATTTGATGAATGCAAACTTCTCATTTTTTGGAAAAATTTTTGCCTTGAAAAATTGGGATTCTTTTTCTAATTTTCATTGATGTAGTGCGTTCAGAGCTCAACTCTCTGGGACTTTTTTGTTTTTAATTGAACTCCCAGGTTAGTTACATTGTTTTGGATGCCATGTCTTCCTCTTTCTTAAATATCTTACTCATTTTGTTGAGTTGTATCCTAAAATAATTTTGAAGAAACAGTAAATGGGAGATAAAATATCTGAATTCTCAGTTTCTTGAAAGTGTCTGTATTTTGCCTTCACACTTGACTGATCCTTTGGTATTCTAGTCTCAAATTAATTTTCCCTTTGAAACCTTTGCCGCAGTACCTTGTAGTACGCATTGTAATGGATAACTGTGATGCCAAACTGAGCCATTCCTCTATAGGCAATCTGTTTTTTTCTTCCCTCTTTTGAAGACAGCCTTTCCTTAAATTATTTTACCAGGATGTATCTGAGTCTCTCTTGTTTATATCACTTGACAATGGGTTGGATCTTTCAATTTCAGTAATTGTTTCTTTTAACTCAGGGAGATATTTTATTATTTCATTTCCTCCCCTGTTTTCTCTGTTCTTTCCTCTGAAATGGCTATTAGCCATATAATCTACCTTCTGCATACATGTGAGTATCTCTTTTCTCTTATATTTTCCATGGTTTGTGTTTGGATGAATTTTCCTGACAATGTTTCCCAGATCACTGCTTGATTTTTAATACTAGCTATTCCATCATTTAGTCCTTACACTGGATTTTTTTTACTTTTGGCAATCATATTTTTAATCTTTTGCATTTTTCTGTTATTCTCTGATTCCTTTTCTTTTTTTCATAGCTGCTTGTTCTTCCTGTATGGATACAATTAATACCTGAATCTTTCCGATGACATTAGATAGAATTCATTAAAAGTTGTTTCTGTCTTGCGTTAACTTTTTTTCTCTATGGGCAATTTTTTTTTTTATGCTGTAAGTTTTCCCTAAATATTGGACAATCCTTGGATGACCATTCATTTTTTTTTTAATTTTATTTTTTATAAACATATAATATCTTTTTATCCCCAGGGGTACAGGTCTGTGAATCGCCAGGTTTACACACTTCACAGCACTCACCATAGCACATACCCTCCCCAATGTCCATAATCCCACCCCCCCAACCCCACTCCCCCCATTAACCCTCAGTTTGTTTTGTGAGATTAAGAGTCACTTATGGTTTGTCTCCCTCCCAATCCCATCTTGTTTCATTTACTCTTCTCCTAACCCCTTAACCCCCCATGTTGCATCTCCTCTCCCTCATATCAGGGAGATCATATGATAGTTGTCTTTCTCCGATTGACTTATTTCGCTAAGCATGATACCCTCTAGTTCCATCCACGTCGTCGCAAATGGCAAGATTTCATTTCTTTTGATGGCTGCATAGTATTCCATTGTGTATATATACCACATCTTCTTTATCCATTCGTCTGTTGATGGACATCTAGGTTCTTTCCATACTTTGGCTATTGTAGACATTGCTGCTATAAACATTCGGGTGCACGTGCCCCTTCGGATCACTACGTTTGTATCTTTAGGGGTAAATACCCAGTAGTGCAATTGCTGGGTCATAGGGTAGTTCTATTTTCAACATTTTGAGGAACCTCCATGCTGTTTTCCAGAGTGGTTGCACCAGCTTGCATTCCCACCAACAGTGTAGGAGGGTTCCCCTTTCTCCGCATCCTCGCCAGCATCTGTCATTTCCTGACTTGTTAATTTTAGCCATTCTGACTGGTGTGAGGTGATATCTCATTGTGGTTTTGATTTGTATTTCCCTGATGCCGAGTGATGTGGAGCACTTTTTCATGTGTCTGTTGGATGTCTTCTTTGCAGAAATGTCTGTTCATGTCCTCTGCCCATTTCTTGATTGGATTATTTGTTCTTTGGGTGTTGAGTTTGCTAAGTTCTTTATAGATTTTGGACACTAGCCCTTTATCCGATATGGATGACCATTCATTTTTATAAATAAAATATATGTTGATTAGTATAGGCAGCTGTGCTGGTTTCTTATTTAAGTTGTTTATCTTTACCCCAAATCCCCTCTAAGTGGGGGGACATGCCTGGGATACTGTGTAGTTTGGCAGATTTCCTTCTTTAGGGTGTGAGGCTGGGGAGTCAGTGAGCTTCAGGTCCTTACCATTAGCAAAGTAAAAACAAACAAGCAAATGAAACTTTACTATGGGGAAATATATTT